CAGCGGTCGATCTTCCCAACGCTAACTGGTGTGCCACCGAGCGGTAGCTGTCCGGTGTGGCCAGCTTCCACAGCACGATGGCAACCCTCTTGTTGACGGGGATGGGTGCCCGCAGCCAGGTGGCGGTTCTCTGCAGCGCGGGGGTGAGACAGGTGCACAGCATCATGAAGGTCCGCTTCCTCATCCAAAAATTCCGGATCCACTGGTGGTCATCCCATAGTCCGAGGACCACACGGTCCCACCCGTCGGTGCTCGTCTCCAAAGTCCAGATGGGCCGGTCTATGGTAGGGTGCTGATGCCACGCGGTTGCCAGGACCTCCCTGTTGAGGGAGTCCAAGGCAATCTCTGCCTCCTGGTATATGAACGCCAGGGCACCAGTCTGCAGCACGAGCTCCAGGCACCTGTACAGGTCCAACAGGGGCCCGAGCAGATACATGGCCACCCACGGCTCCATGGCAGATAGAGCAGGGCAGACAAAAGAAGATGCTGGGAAAAGCAGTTGGGGGCCAAAGGGTGGTGTCCCCAAAATTCACAGGGCAACCACCGACCCTGTGAAGGGTGCCAGTCCCTGGCAGAGGTCACAAGGCACGGGAGCACGAGACCAACGGCTGCCCGGAGAGACCCCTTTAACCACGCATCTGGATGGAGCTCCGGCCCCGCCCCCGGAAAGGTCTGGTGGCCTTTGCCCTTTTCAAAATGGTTCCGGGCTTTTGCTTTTCTGGAAAAGTGCGCCGCCAATGTAGACGCGCTTTTCTGGAAAAGCGCATCGTTATCATGGAAACTCCGTGGCCAATGTAGATGCTACTTTTCCGGAAAAGCTGAAAACGGAATAGTATTCCGTTTTAAGCCTTTCCGGAAATTCATGCCAGTGTAGATGTAGCTTAGGAGTGACAGAAGCTTGGACTTACATTTTGGCAAATGTAAGGGTTTTAACATTTTTTTTATTAATGGAATAGCAAGTGCTTATCCAAATTACTCTGAAGACTTTTTCACCTTTATTTTTGTAGTTTGGTTTGGATTCATATTTTTAGATTTCTGCTAATGCCTTTGGAAATTACTCTGTGTCTAAGTGATCCAAAACAATTTTCACTGATTTCAGTAGATTTGGGAGCAAGTCCTAATTTTATACATCATTTACCTCATTTAATAAGAGGCCAGTTATGCCTCATTTAGTAATTATTAATACATAAGCAATTACTTTATACATTCTTCACTAATATTTAATAATGACTGTATCTGTCAACTTTAAGAACTTACTATTGTAAAACAAATACATTTTAAGCTCATAAAGGGATAAATCCTAGGCTTGCCAACTCTCAAGGATTCTCCTGGAGTCTCCAGAGTTTTCCTGGAGTCTCCAGAAATTACACATTAATCCTGAGTTAAAGATAATGCCATGTGATGAAACCTCCAGGAATTCGTCCCAAAGGTTGGCAAATCTAAGAAATCCTGCTAAACAAATGTTCATTGAGAGTTTCACATGAAAGAGAGATTTGGCCAAAATGAGATACTGTTACTATTTGCAATAGCGCATATTATAAACTACTATAAATAGTGTTAATTTGTAGATTTATCCAAGGCGTATTTAGCAGCTACAGTGTCCATAAACAGGAATGGGAATTACAGGTGCTTCTCTTCTTTGCAGAACTAAGGATTCATAGAAGCCAATTCAATAGACCATCAGTGGCTATTAGCCAGGATGCGTTGGAATAGTATCCCTAGCCTCTGTTTCTTTGGAAGTGGGTGACGGGAGAGATCATGTGAGGATTACCTGTTGTGATCATTCCCTCTGGGGCATTTGGTATTGGCCACTGTTGGCAGACAGGATACTGGGCTAAATGGACCTTTGGTCTGACCCCGTTCTTATGTTCTGTCTGGTACCTTTAACTACTTTCATGTATGATGAGAACAGTCAGCACCTCTCAGGACAGATCCATGCCACCTGCCTAGAAGCAGACTTTATATGGATTGAATATTCAACAGCTAGGGAGGTAAAATCCAATTTAGGTCCAGAGTCCAGGACTTCAGCCATGCCTTTTTAACCCTATTCAGTTGTGGGCTGCAATCTCTGGCCATGGTCCTCAAACCAAGTTTCACTGGGGACTAGGACTTTGGATCTTTGGTCCCTCCATGGACCATCTCTAGCTTTCCACGCTCGACTCCATGATGCTTCCTGAAAAGGATCTGTGCCTCGTGTAGGTGTGTGATACCCACGTGAGAATGACTTGCCAGCTACCCCCCAGCACAGATCTTGTGGACGATTTATGCGGTGCAAAGGGCCTTCTGGTGTCATCCACACTGTGGATGGATTCTGTTTCTGTAACTTAAAGTCTGAACCCCCAATTATAGAACCCTCCTCATCAGTCACCTCTGGTCTAGATAGTGCTTTGTTCGGCCATGAGTGCAGGGGAGTGAACTTGATGGCCTCTAGAAGTCCATTCCAGTCCTATAATAAATTCTGCTAGACCACACTAATACAAATACTGTATTGTTAAAATAAACAGAACATAGTTTTCTAAAATGTCTTTTAGTATGATTATAAAAATGTTTTAAATTGGCCTGTAATTTAAAGGATAATATATTTATCAAAGAAACTTTACACCTGTGTTAATTTTTAAATATCATATAGCATGGGAAAATCCTATAATCAAAGTTAACAAAGTGCTGGGCTTTTTAAATTGTAGTAATTTTTAAAAATCATCTGAAAACTATTTCATATGGTTTAAAAGATCATTAGAAACCCAATCCCATCTCTGTGTTCACTGAAATGAACATGCTTCACAAGAAGGAAAAGTAATGTGATGGATACAGAGCAGGTCATGACCTAGAATTACAAATGGTAGTGAGTATGTGCCATCTTTTTAATGTTTTTATTTGCTCCTACTACCAACTAGAGCCAAGATTTATATAAATAAGATGCTTCAGAGGGGTAGCTGACTTATTCTATAACCGGAAAAACTTAAAAAACAACAAATAGTCTGGCAGCATCTTAGAAACTAACAAAACATGTAGCTGGCATCATAAATAAGATACTAACTTTAGACTCCTAAATCATTTTGGTTCCTAAATAAATGGGTGAATTTTCAAGTTTGGAGCATTTAGTAGCTCTCACTGAAGTGAACTGAGAGCTGCTGAGAAATTAGCAGTTTTGAAAATCAACCTAATTATGTTATTGATATCAAGTTCCAGTGTTTGAAAATCTTGTCCCAGGTGTTGTAGCTCAAATGCATGTAAGAGCTGCACTTAAATGAAAGTGAGATGGGGGCCATAAACAAAATAAGCTACTTAGAAGACTTTGTAGCTTAATTTAGTTTATCTGCTTCCCAATATGAGCTTTCTAGAAGATATTCACACATTTCATCTTATACACACAAGGTTACCTGCAAAATGTTTATTCCATGTAGCTCACTGTCCTGTAACCAATGACTATGTAAATTGTATCCAAGGAGATACAGAGAAATAAGGATTCACTCTGTGTGCTGTTTTTATGATGATCAATCCTGAAGAATTGTCTGTTAAGATAATATTGGTATTCTGGTCTTGAACTACAGTATAAGATTGAGTCTATATTGATTATAAATAATAAAGTTTTTGCTTGGCTCTCATGATTAACTTACTTTATGACATAGTTAACTTTGTTACTTAATATGGTTCTTTTCCATTTCATATTACAGTGTTCCAACATTCCAGAGCCTTCCTGAAGAGATACTCAGTAAGCTTGCTGATGTCCTAGAAGAGGTAAGTGGTTTTAGTTCTTGAGGACAGTATGAGGTCAATGACCCATGGGTCCTTTTGTAAAAAAATCTTCCAGGCTCTCTCCCAAATTCAGTTTCACAGTTTTGTTCTAAATCATGGTTACCTGTTCCAATATTTAGGCATAATGGACTTCATTAAACCCAGAGAGTGAAATTTGCATTTTTCTGCATTCACTGGGGCAGTCATACTAAAGGAAAATATCAGCCTTGGAGGAGATTGGAAACATTATGTTTGTTACCCTCTCAGCAGGGGAGGGCAGGTGAGTTCAGAGATAACAGATGCCCTACGGGTAAGGGCTGCCCAGGAACTATCCTGATTAATGCATTTCCTAGATGAGATCCTGATTCTGCTGAAGTCTTTAGGACTTTCGCTACTATCTTCAGTGGAATCTGAATTTTACTGCTGCCCCCTTCACATCTTTGTAATCTGTGCTGTCTGATTCTGGCCCTCCCCAATGGAGTGAGGATTGTGGCCAACCTGCTCCACTGCACCCATCCTGTGGCAGACCTTCCATGCGTTGACCAGCATGCAGACTGGACTCAGTCTGAGAGGGAGAGCGGTTAGCTTTAGTTTGGAAACTTCTCTGCTAATTTAGGGCTTTCCAATTTGTTGAGTGTCTTCAACTCCCAAAGCAGTTAGTACATTCTAGAAATCAGACCATTTCAAAACTTTCTTGGCTTATGATTTTTTTTTTCATTTTTCTTCTGCTTTGTACATGTGCCACACAAAATATATTTTGATGTAGTCTTTGTATAAAGTCTAGTAATAAGATATATGATGTTTTTAGTGACATGTTTTTAATAAGTTTCCTCAACAAGATTTGCAACATTTTTGCTAGTTCTGTTTGCTCTCACAAAATTAATTTAAAATAATTGCATTGTACATAATTTGTATTTGCTTATTTACCTGCCCTTTTTGCATGTCAGGATTACACACTTCTGGGTATTATAGGCACAGTTAATGAGATCCATTCAAATTTAGTCTGTATGCTTTAATACGTTTGATTTTTCTCTCAAGCACCTGACTAGTAAAAGTTAATCTTACAGTCATGTAGCAAAAGAATGAAGGTACACTACTTAAAGATTCATAAAAATGGTTGAATTTAACAACTTCTTTTAATTCTGTCTCTTCTGTTAATATGCTGTTACATTTCCTTTGCTTTTTTATTTAATACATGAGAAAATTCTGCAACCTCTGTTTTTACTATAAATCTAAGCAAAACATACATTTGTCAAGCAGCACGATAAAGTACTCATGGGACCTTTTTTATTTCCTTTGCTACTGCCAGAGAAATGTTTGTTATATTTTGAAAAATATCCATAATAACTCAGAATTCTATACATAAACGTATGCCAAATTAAATCGGCGTATGTCAAAAATACATGCTTAATTGGAACTAGTTTGATTTATTTGGATCATGTGAACAATATTAAACTCTATACATCAATTTTAAATGAAAATGTGTTACATCAATAAAATATTTTTCTAGCTACACATTAGCTGTCAGGGGAAAAAACCCCTCAAGAGGAACAAATGAGGCATAAAAATATAAAAGTAAGTATCCATGGGAATGCTTATCTAGTTATCTAGGATTACTTCTTACATATAGGCATAAAACTAGCAAGATTTGTCTCTTTAATTTTATATTGATCTCTCACTCTATAAGAAAATAGCCATCAAGAAAACCAGTGAAGTGCTCAAAGTGAATCCTATTTGTAAAAAATAAAAGAAATACAAGCTTCATAACATTAATAGGAATTACATTAGTGCTTTTGTAAGAAAATGTATCTTCTTTTTTAAACTGGTTTGTCCTATGTAATCAATACCTGCATGCAGCCTATTATTTAAGGCTAAACTGTAAAATCCTCTATTAAGGTATCTAGATAACTATTAATCACATCTAGTCTATATTACACGATACATTAAAGTACTTTACAACAGAAATGTATATATTTGCTAAGTGGTGAAAAATAGTTTTGCTTTTTACTGTGTTAGTCTTTGTTTTCATCCAACAAATTCTTCATAAACTACTGAATCACTGGTAATACTTAGTGCAAAATTATGTATTTAATGTTTGATTTAAATTAAATATATATAAATAAGCTAACAAAGTACAGGCAGTCCCCGGGTTACGTACAAGATAGGGACTATAGGTTTATTCTTAAGTTGAATTTGTATGTAAGTCGGAACTGGTACATATTGTAGGGGAAACTCTAGCCAAACATTTCTCCAGAGCTCAGTTTTATTCTCCCACACCTCACTTCCCTCAGTCTTTTATTCTCAAGCTGAGGTGTCTGCTGAGAAAAGCCGCTCCGCATCTCCCTGGTCTGCTGGGGGGAAGCAACTAGTGCGGGGTTGCCTCACCCCGTTTGTAAGTAGGGATCCGATGTAAGTCAGATCCATGTAACCCGGGGACTGCCTGTATTTGTATTTTATCTTCTCTATTACTCTGACAAGAATTGAATGAAACAGACTGACTTGGCACAATGTGAGACAAGGAATAATTTCACTATTAATGGTTCAATTTAAAACGCTGTTTTTTCTTAAGATACTCTGTGAATAGTGGAGCAAAGGTTCACTACATTTTCTAACAGTTTGTAAAAGAACTGTTAGCTAAAACCCAGAAACAAAAGAGCTGCATTTCTTATACATTATCCAAAGCATTTTTGGAACTGTTGGGAGGATATTGAGAAACTATCCATGTATGATAATATGATTACACCTTTAAAACTGATAGAAAAATTAAAATTACTTATTTAGCTGAGATAAATGTGAGCTAACAAGCCACAATGAGTATAATTTTCCTTTCCCTTTCAGAGCTTTCTCACTAAATGTAACATCACTGTGCTCACTCATACCAGAGTGAGAGCAGAACTAGGCCCATTGACATGAATGTGAACAGATTTGAGCATAAATTAATAATTTTGTTGTAGTTTTGTCATCTAATATAGTCATAATAAGTACCGTATATTCCGGCGTACAAGACGACCTCTGATGTTAAAAAACATCCCCCAAAAATCGGGGGTCGTCTTGTACACCGGATGCCCCGCCGCCGGAGCCCCTCCACGGCTTTGAAAGCCTCGGGGGAAGCCGGCGGGGGGGGGGGGGGGGGGGGGGGGG